TTGGTTTTTTGTGTTATATATATATATATATATATATAAAGGGATATATAAACCCTTTTTTGGCTAGAACAAAGCAGTCCCCAGAGGATGTGAACATAAAAGAAACCAGAGAATAGTGTGCTGAAGTTCCACAGATTGTGGGTTGACCAGAAACTCCAGTAGAGTGTCGTGGTTTGGCTGGGCTGGTAACAAGGTTGAGAGCTCTGCATCAGATGGTTTGTGTTGAAAAGCGATGGGACCAATAAGAGTAGTTCATTATTTAGCTTTCAAAAGGAGTGAGAGGGAAATAGGGTTTGTGTTCTGATGAAATAAAAGCGGGTGAGATCCCAAGATTGCCTCCTTTAAACATAACCTAACGACATCATTTAAGGGACAAAAAGGGGGTTTTCATATATGAAGATAATAACAGATGATATATGGCTGCTATTTGAAGCAAAGGCGACCATTATTCCGCAAAACAGCGACATTGAACTGCTACACTACAGGCCACTCAGAAGCAACAAGGGGACTGTGCTGCTTTGCAACGCCACTGTTAACTCTTGTGGCGATACCTAAATTATTTTTCTACTTTCATCTTTTAGACTTCTGCCTTATTTTATTACTTTCAACCCAATCCAACTGTGATTTCCTACGCAGTTAGCATTAAATATCCACGCCACCAAATCCCTAATTGCCACTTACAATTTTCCTCAATTTTGTCAAACCCCAATTTCATTTTCACTAATTGACCATTTAATCCTCCTCAGCAACAAAAGCATTTTTCCCCCAAGTGGGACTAGCTAAATGGATCAAATAATACAATTGTGTTCTGTCATAAACAAGAAGACATCTCCTTTACACTCATCCTTAGAGAGAAAGAGACAAAAAGAAGATATTTGGTGAGGGTGCCTTGGCCCTTGGTAGAATGGAAGAAAATATGTACAAATTGCATTTGCCCTTCCAACTGTGGCTACTCTAGGCCACATCTTGCAAGGATTAAGATTTAAGAACTACTCTCAAAACTCTATAATACATAACACTCAATCCTGGCTCTGTTTCCTGATAACTAATAAGAACTTAGACTAAATTGCAAGGGGGAATGTAAAAGTTTCATCATTTTATCTAGAACTAGAATCACTAAAGCATGATGTTCTCCGAATCTGTCAGTCTTCGCCTCACCAACAAATATGATCTTCATCAGGTCCTGCTTTTTACAGACAGGATTTGAAGGGCTGCATGAATTCTCTGCCTCTGGATAGCTTCAATAGAATAGGTTAGCTAATATGGCACTCTAGAGTCTAAAAGGAACATTAAATTTGCAAGTTCAGAGGCGAAAGAAGAGGGTCATTAGCAAGAATCAAAAACCAAGATAGATATCTGCATATTCACCAGGGTACTTAGAATTCACCCAAAAGAGCAACCATTACATGAATACTTCGCTTAGTAGGACAAAATATTGAAACCAATGAGCAAATCAAAGCATCTACATTTAAGTTTTTTCTCCAATAACAATAGATAACTCATTCAAACAACTTTTAACAAATCAAACCCACAGAGCAATATTAAGAATAAGAAGTCATCAAGGCAACGTCTAATCCATGAGTCCGGATTAAGATTCATATCGTCAAAACATAAAGCTTAGTTCAATTATGCCACGTTTGGCACACGATATAAGATAGAAGAGCCAAAGAAAATCGACCCATCTGAACTTCCGCGTAGTCCAGTTACATCAATCCATTTCCTACGTTATAACAACCACATCTTCAAATCTTCAATTTCCCTCATTTTTTTAATATTTTGTTTTATCATTTTCAACGCAGCCGAACACACTACAAACAACACAACGTTCAAATAACAATAATAACCAACCCATCAAATCAAATCATAAAATTCCAATGACCCGGTTCCCCAACCTCAATTCAAAATCAAAATCAAGTTGACCCAAAATAAAAATTCACAAGCCCCACCTTCAAAAATTGCAACTTTAGAATCTCAAGCTGCAAGGTCAAAGGATCTAACAGCTGGGGCACGTGAATTCCCGAGTCTATTAGACAAAAAAAAAAAAAAAACAATAGCAACGAAAAACACGAGCGAGAGAGAGAGAGAGAGAGAGAGAGAGAGAGTACCAAGTTCGTTGGGGGCGAAGAAGAGAATTGTGTTCGAGAATGAGAGAGCAAGCTTTTGGTTTGGGCCTTGTACGGTAGATAGAGTTGTGATAAGGGCTTGTTTGGTCCTCTCCTTCTCGAAACAAAAAAACAAATGGGAGATGTTATGCTCTGGTTTCGTCCCTCGCCTGGAAGAATCTTGCACCGTTCGATGATTCCGATGGCCACGTGTCGCACGTTGGGAGATGCAACTACGTTTGATTGGGCCTGGATCAGTGTCGTAGAGAGATTCAAGTCGACTGCGTCGTTTGGTTTGTCACACGCATCTCAACGTCCACTATGTCATGACTCATTACGCAAAAGCTTATCTACAGTACAAGATAATGTTTTAAAAAGGTGATAATAGTAAGTAATAATACTATCCTTTTAATGCACCACGCATTGCTCATTTTTCTTCTTTCTCTTTTTAGTCATACTATATATTTTTTAATCTTAGTGTTAGAAAAATATGAGCGTTTCTTAAGTTTTTAATATAATTTATTTCATAATTAAAGTTAAGATTCTAATTTTAAAATTTTGTTAAAAGATATAAATTATTATTATTTGTCTTCATCAATTAATTGTGTTTAAATTTTTAAAATACCAATATTGTATTTCTTTTAAAATTACTACAAGTAGTATTTTAATTTCGGCATGTACTATTCGAGAGAAATATTTATTTTTATATAATAAAAATTTATAACAAATAAATATTTTTTTTATATAAATTATATAATAATTAAAATATAATAAATAAATATATTTAAACATATAAATTATATAATACTTATTTATAATGTAAAATCTAAATTGTAATTTAAATTTATAATATATGTTTTAACACACTGTTTAGAGATTACAACTTGGGAAGTTTCTCTATGTTAACTCTTAGCCTAGTCAAATTAGTGCAAAGCCACATTAGTGTGAAAAAAGAAAAAGAAAAAGATAACAGCTTGCGGGGTGTCTCTATATTAAAATATTTTTCTAAATAAAAATATTTTCAATATGCTATATATATTACGTGTATTATTGAATTTTAATTGTTTAAATAATGTTATTATATTTTTTGTTGACATCTTATGATGATATGTCTTTTTAAAGACCACGTATATTCTCTAAATATGTGATATCATATACTATACATAAAAATCACCGTCAACCTAGATTCATATGATTATATGAAGATTATAATACTATTCAACTGGAAGTAGATGACAATGCTCTTTGACTATTTTATTATAGTGTGTTATTTTAGCTGGAGCTCTAAACATTAGGAGAAATCTAATAAAAGAAGAAGAAGAAATATTAAGAGAATTTACGGTCGACTTTTCTTGCGAATTTTTCATAAAAATTTATAAGAAACGTTGTTCTTGCAAATTTTCCTATGAAATTTTATCTGTAAGTAATACCTTCGTGGATAATAATTTTTTGCGAATTTTAAAATTTATAGAAAATTTTCCTGTGAAATTTCTTGCGAAAAAAATTTGGAGGAAAGTTTCCTAAAAAAAAAATTGCAGGAAAGTTTCTTGCGAATTTTTTCGCAAGAAATTTTGCAGGAATATTTATTACAAAAAAATTAAAGAAATTACTATAAATTCTATCAATAATTTTTCAACTTTCAAATGCTCACAATGAATTCATTTGAAGCATTTGTTTCCATGTCTCCAACATGTGATACATAATCTTTTAAATTCTATGATTGTAGATTATAAGCCTAACACTCAACCATATAAATCAACTTGTAAGGTAAGTGTTGCCCCAACTTATATACTCTTTAATTGCTTTATTTTCAATCAATGTGGGACTCGAAGTTTTTTTTAAATATTAAAATTATAAATTTAAATATATATTTTTTTATTTTTCTTGCAAATTAAAATTTGTAGGAAAATCCGCAAGAAAAGTTACCTGTAAAATTTTTCTACCATTTAGTAAACATTACTTGCGAATTTATTTTTGCACGAAAATCTGCAAGAAACAAAATAAAATTCTTACAATATTTTCTGCAAATTTTTACCATGGAAAAAATTTCTATGATTATTAAATTTGTAGGAAAATTTGTAAGAAATATCTGTAAATTATTTTTCGCAAATAAATTTGCAAAAAATTTCTGCAAATATTTTTTTGTAGGAAAATTCGCAAAAAATTTCTGTGAATATTTTTTTGCAAGAAAATTCGCAAAAAATTTCTGCGAATATTTTTTTGCAGAAAAATTTGCAAGAAAATGCCACTTTTCTAGTAGTGACGAGTGTTCTAAAATCAAACTATTTATTTCCATTGATTGAGTTGAGGATGAAGTTGAAAAGGGTTTTCCATGGGTTTCGAGGGTTCAAGATGTTCATGGAGGTCCATGCTTGAGTGGTGTTTGATTTTTAGTTGCATGTTGTTTCTAATGATGAATTTGCGTTGTATATGTTGTATAGATGTTGTTTGAGATGTTGCATGCTATGAGAGCTTTTTGATTTTTAGGTATTGTGTGAAATTGGGCTCTGCACAAGTGTAGAATCCAATATTGCATCGGACGTGCCTTCAAGGCATCGAGCGTGGTTCTAAAGGAGACGTATTTGTCTTAATCACACTAGGCGTAAAATTGGTGGTGTCAGGCATGAGGAGGGAGACTCATCTTGGGTTGGAACCTCACTGGGTGTGGGTTGAATGGTACCGGGCATGAGGAGAGAAACTCGTCTCTGCCTTGGTTCACGTTGGGCGCTAAGGTGTGTGGTGCCAAGCCGAAGTCAAGCAAAAAACTCTCTACTTGAACAGGGTCCGGGGTGGAAGTTGCCAGGCTAGGCGTGAGAGTGTGGGGCACTCTTTGCCTCAACCATGCTGGGAATAATTGGTGTGACATCAGGTGTAACGTAGCAAGTTGTTTTAGAAAGTCCTATATAGGTGATTTAGTAGCCCAGAACGGGTCGTTCCCAATCTGGAACGGGCCGTTCCAAGCTATTAAATTTACCTGTGATTCGTGGTTGAGAACGGGCCGTTCTGGAGGGAGAACCGGTCGTTCTGGTTAAAGTACGGGCCGTTCTGGATGAGTTCCAGAATGGGCCGTTCTGAAGTCAGAACGGGCTGTTCTGCATGTGGTTTTTGCGTATGACAAAGGAGTACAAAATGGGCTGTTTCGGATTCGGTACATGCCGTTCTGGCCACTTCGAAATGTCTATAAATAGGGGTTGTGGGCCGTGAGAAGAATGCGAGTTTTTAGAGAGAAGGTCTCTGGGTCAGTGAGCTCCTTCCTCTCCCAAATTTCTTTGTATGATTCATTTTCTTCTCTAGACCACTAATGCCTTCTGTCATTTCTTGATGGTAATTTCCTCAATGTTCCTCTAGTCATAACCCCAACTACACATGGAAAAGTCTTTGGAGCACCCAACATCTCCTCAAGAATGGCACTCGATGGAGGCTTGGGAATGGTAATACCATTCCTGTTTGGGGTGAGCCTTAGATCAAATACAATAACAACTACCATTGTATTCATCCTCATGACCCCTCAAACAACCATGCTCTTAAAGTTTCCGATTTAATGAGCAATATAAGCTTGATTGGAACGCCGACTTGATTAACTCCATCTTTGACACAGACACCAGTAACCATATACTCAACATCCCCATCCTCAACCCACACTGTGAAGATAAACGCATCTGGAACTGGAACCCCTCTGGTTCTTACACTGTTCGATCTGCATATAAAGGTTATCTCCAGCATAGCCTTTGCTTGGGTCATCTCTGTACCCCTGGTCCTTGGGAAACCATATGGAATCTTTGCATTCCCCACAAGATCAAGCACTTCATTTGGAGATTGATGCGGGACATCCTCCCTACTCGACCAAACCTTCAAAAGAAAGGCATTAGTTGTCCTAGTACGTGTTTTAGATGCGATATTGGTATTGAAAACACCTGGCACACTTTCTTTAGCTGCCCATCAGCCAAGCTGTGCTGGCAGGGAAGTAAATTCCACTTTTGCATCATGAAATTGATTAACTCTTCTGATGGTGTCTTTAACCTTATTTCTCACATTTTATAGTGTTGGGCTCCTCAAGACGTTGCAGAATTTTCCCTGATCCTTTGGAGCATGTGGCATAGTCGGAATGCTTTGCATTGGAACAACACTCCTTAGAACCAGAACGAGATCATCCTTCATGCCTCCTCCATGCTTCATGATTGGGCCACCGCTAACAGAGCTACTCCAGTGCAGCACTCTAAACCTCCTCCTAGACAGCGTTGGTCTCCTCCTTCCCAAGGGTCTCTTAAGTGCAACATCACCACTTACTCCTTCCTGGTGGAAGGGCTTACTGGAATTGGCATCTGCATTAGAGACCACCAAGGTGCCTTTATTAGAGCTCGATCAACCACCATCAAAGGCAGTATGGAGCCCCACGTTGGTAAAGCCTTTGCTTTTCTCCATGGTATCAACTGGACCCATAATCAGAACTTAGAGAATATTATATTCGAAACAGATTGTAAACGCATCCCCCCTATTTCTCCAATCACCACTCCGCTGACACATCTCAATTTGGTTGCCTCCTTGACCAATGTAAGCCTTTTATGGCAAACCCCCCAAACTCTCATGTGAGTTTCTCCCCTAGATCTGCCAATATTGTTGCTCATAAGCTTGCTAAAGCAGCAATAGATAGTGCACATCTTAGTGATTTCTTCCACATCCCAAATTGTATCTTTTATGACATTCTTAATGATATGAACTAAGCTTTTGTTTTTCAAAAAAAAAAAAAAGTTTACTTAGACTTATTTCGTTCAATAATTCATATTCTACATCAAATTTCAACGATCAAACCATTGCATTTAAAGTTCTTAATGCATAGATCAAATCTAGAAATTTTTAAATTTTTTAAATACTATTTGATATTTCATTTCATTAATTCAAATTGACAAATGATATATTTTGTTAATTTTAATTAATAAAATAAAATAGAAAATGATTTTCAAAATTTTTTAAAATTTGGAGATTTAATTTATGCATTAAGAACTTTAAATCCAACAGTTGAATTGTTGAGATTTGATATAGAGCATGAGTTATTGAATGGAATAAGTTTAGGTAAACTTATTCCTGTAATAAATGGATTCTTCTTCTCTCTCTCTCTCTCTCTCTCTATATATATATATATATATATATATATATATCAAAATATACCATGCCAAATACTACCCCGATGGTAATTTCCTCAATGTTCCTCTAGTCATAACCCCAACTACACATGGAAAAGTCTTTGGAGCAC